TCTTCAGCGATTGGACGAAAAGGATAGCGAAGAAGGTAACGCCGTTTTCACGACGTTAGGTATTTTCGAGAATATGATCGAGGCGTTGCCATCCGTCGCCGAAGCCGTCTGCGAACGGACCCGACTGCTACGCTGGTTACTGGCTCGAATACGCGTTAAAGAGTTCGACGCGAATAAACTATACGCGAGCGAGATCCTCGCGATCCTGCTCCAAGGCAGCTCCGCGAACCAAAAACGAGTCGGCGCGATGAACGGCGTGGATTCGCTGCTGCAAGCCGCGGCGAACTACAAATCGCGCGATCCGAAGACGACGGAAGAGGAGGAAATGCTGGAAAATATCTTCGACGCGCTGTGCAGCGTGGTGATGGTGGACGAGAATAAGGAGCGATTCGTGAAATCGGAGGGAGTAGAGCTTATGATTATCACGATGAAGCAAAGGAAGCTTGCCTACTCCTCCGCCATGAAGGCTCTTGATTTCGCCACCACGCGCTGCCCCGCTGCGTGCGAGCGGTTCGTGGACGTCCTGGGGCTCAAGACGCTGTTCTCCGCGTTTATGAATAAGGTGAGCGGGTGAAGGGGGTGGAAGGTGGTGGAAGGTGGTGGAAGGTGGTGGACGTGCTGGGGCTGAAAACGCTCTTCTCCGCTTTTATGAATAAGGTCAGTTGGCCCCTGCCGCATACACGTGTGAGTCACCACCACGCGCTGTCCCGCTGAGTGCGAGCGGTTTGTGGATGTGCTGGGGCTCAAAACCCTGTTCTCCGCTTCCATGCGCAAGGTGAGGGAGGGGAGGTGAGCAGGAACAGTGAGCGGGTGAGCGGGGAGGAAGGTGGGTTGGTGGGTTACAGGAGAAGCAGGATTGTGAATAAGGCGAATGGATCCCCACGCCATGCCTCCTACGTGGGGATCCATTGGTGGTTACAGGAGAAGCAGGATTGTGAATAAGGCGAATGGATCCCCACGCCATGCCTCCTACGTGGGGATCCATTGGTGGTTACAGGAGAAGCAGGATTGTGAATAAGGCGAATGGATCCCCACGCCATGCCTCCTACGTGGGGATCCATTGGTGGTTACAGGAGAAGCAGGATTGTGAATAAGGCGAATGGATCCCCACGCCATGCCTCCTACGTGGGGATCCATTGGTGGTTACAGGAGAAGCAGGATTGTGAATAAGGCGAATGGATCCCCACGCCATGCCTCCTACGTGGGGATCCATTGGTGGTTACAGGAGAAGCAGGATTGTGAATAAGGCGAATGGATCCCCACGCCATGCCTCCTACGTGGGGATCCATTGGTGGTTACAGGAGAAGCAGGATTGTGAATAAGGCGAATGGATCCCCACGCCATGCCTCCTACGTGGGGATCCATTGGTGGTTACAGGAGAAGCAGGATTGTGAACAAGGCGTGCTGTGCAGCACAGATTAGCTAGCAGCATCCGTTGATGGGTGCTTTGCGCTATCATATCAATTATGAGGTAGCATCGTGTCGTGTGTGCTGTGTGCTGTGCTATGCGCTCTGCCCTGTGTGCCATGTGCAGGTGACAGTGAAGCGCAAGGATAAGTCAGAGACGCTTCAGCTGCAGCAGGAGATAGACGAACGTGTCATCTCCCTCATTGCCTCCCTGCTCTGTACGTGTCATCTCCCTCATTGCCTCCCTGCTCTGTACGTGTCATCTCCCTCATTGCCTCCCTGCTCTGTACGTGTCATCTCCCTCATTGCCTCCCTGCTCTGTACGTGTCATCTCCCTCATCGCCTCCCTGCTCTGTACGTGTCATCGTGCTGCCCTAATCCGTTCGTACGGGTCAACTCATTCACTGCCTCGATGCACTCTACGTGTCAGTTCATCTCTTTCAAGGGCTCAGAAAAACACTGTTTTTCGAGACTCAACACCTCTTCCAACCTATCTCCACCCCTTTGCACCCACTCGTACCAGCGGGGCTGTCCAAGGGGTCACGGAGGGACCGGGTGCTGAGCAAGTTCGTGGAAGGAGAGTATGAGAAGATTGATCATTTGTTGGAGCTGTATATGAAGTGAGTGAGGGAGTGGGGGAGTGAGGGAATGAGGGAGTGGGAGTGTATCAGGGAGCGCGACAGAGGAAAAAGGATGAGGATTGTGTTGAATCTTATCATAACGAGGTGACTTTTGAGTCGACTCAAAAGTCACGATGAGGATTGTGTTGAATCTTATCATATTCAGTTTGTGAAGCGAGGTTGTTGTCACCTCGACTCAAAAGTCACCTCAAAACGATGAGGATTGTGTTGAATCTTATCATATTCAGTTTGTTCGTGGAAGGAGAGTATGAGAATATCGGCCATCTGCTGGAGCTGTATATCTAGTGAGAGAGAGGAAAGGTAGAGAGAGGGTGAGAGAGTGATGGAGTGGAGAAGTATTGTGGAAGGGACTGGGAGCGGGTGAGTGCCAGCTGTGCCAGCTGCTCCATTCACGCCTCCCTCACCCCCCTCCCCCACTCTTCCTCCTCCCAATGGCAGGTACTGGGAGAGGGTGCGGGCGGAAGAAAGGCGGCAGGAGGAGCAGCAGAGAAGACGAGAGATGCTGAGGCAGCAGGGGGAGGAGGAGGAGGACGAAGAGGTGAAGTTTCCTTCCTTCCTGTTTCTTTGGGAGAAGGGGAGATGGGAGGGGGCGTCAGGGGACGAGGGGGAGAGTGGGGGGGCCCATTGCAACCATACCTAGTCTTGTCCTTTCTTCCTCCTCATCTCCCTTCCTCCTCTGCATCCCTCCTCCTCCCCCCCTCCATCTCTTTGTCTCTTTCCTGGTCTCCCCTTCTCCTCCCCCTCAGCTCGTTTCCCTCTCCCTATCCCCTCTGCCCTCATCCCTTCATACAGATGTCAGATGAGGGTCGTTATCTCGCTCGCATGGAGGCAATTTTGGAGGCGCTTCAAATACAGCCCCTCCTTTCATCCCCCTTCCCACTCTCTAACACGCACAGATGACAGATGAAGATCGTCATCCGGCTCGCCTGGAGGCACTTTTTGAGGCGCCTAAGAAATTCTCCCCCCTCTTCATCCCCCGTCCCCCTCTCACTCGCACAGATGACAGATGAAGATCGGTATTTGGCTCGCCTGGAGGCAGGCCTCTTCACACTGCAGGTGCGCCATCCCCCTACTGCAGGTGTGCCTCCCCACATGTCCCTATTTTCTCCCCCAACGCTAGTCTGTGCCTCCGCCGTTGTGGCCCCCCGCTACCTCACTGTTAAGCGAGTGCACACTGCTGCGTTCCTGCTTTGAGTCGTGTTTTGAGCCGACTCAAAACACAGTGCACTGCTGCTCTCCTGCTAGCTCCCGTTCTCTTTCCTGTGGATACTGTCTGCCCCACTCTCCTGCCTCTTACTGTCTCCCCTCCTCTCCCTCCCCTCTAATCACCAACCCCCCCTCACTACCCTCCCACATTCCCCCCCCCCCGCCTCTCCCCCTCCCCCCTTCGTGTTGCGTGTCACCTTCTAACGCCCACTTATGCGGGATGGACCACATTCATCATCAGCTCATCGCGCTCATCCTCGCCCACCTCTGGGCTGCAGAGTAAGCAACCCCACATGCCTCCTGCTCTCATCGTTCTCCTTCTCACCCACATGCCTCCTTCCACATGCTGCCTGCCACATGCCATGTTTTGCTGTCCACATTTCTTCTAGCATGTCCGCTGTTGTGGCGCTCCATTGCTTTCACAGCACCACTCACAGCCTCCTTCACTGCTCCCTGCAACTCTCCCTCCCTCTCTCCCTGCCTTACCATACGCTCTACCCCAGGCACGTCCTTTCCTGCCTCCCTTATCCATCCCTTCAGATTCTCTCTTTTCCTCGTACCATCTCTCACTCATCTCGACTCTCATCCCCCAAATCATCGCCTGCTCATCTCCTCTCCCATGCTGCCAGGCATGGGGGAATGAGGCATCGTATCGACCTGCTGCTGCGACAGCAGAAGCTCTCAAGAGACCATGTGAAGACCATTCTGCAGGTGAGGGGTTTTGAACCGCAAAGGGGATAGTGCGGGTGAAAGTAATGCTGCAGGTGAGGGGAATACTGCAACTGCAGAAGTCTTGTGTCTCTTACCACCCCTCCATTCCCACCCTCCCTCCATGTGTGTGTGTGTGTGCGCGCGCGCGTATCATTAGGGGTACAGCAACAACATTAGAGACCTGGATGGGGAGGAGGCAGAAGTGTCTTGTCCCTTACCACCCCTTCCATTCCCCCTTTTCATTCTCCCTCTCCTTGCCGCCCTTGTCTGTGTGTCTGCACTGCACGTTATCAGGAGTACAGCGAGAACATTGGGGACTTGGATGGGGAGGAGGAGCGCAACAGACGGCGCGACAGAATAGCTAAGCTGATTGCAGATTTGTGATGATTGCGGTGCGGTGCGGTGCGGTGTATTGCGCTGCTGAGCTGTGCTGTGGTGGCTACGCTTGGCAAGCTCACAATGCTGCACAGCAGACTTGAAATGTGGTCCTGGGACAGTGCTTGCTGGCTTGACGTGTGTACAGATTTGTTATACCAGTAATTGGCAGAAACGAGACTCAGCAGCAGTGCACCACACAAGTGCAATGCCACTCTGAAACCGTACCGTACCATGCTCTGCAATACTGTAAAGAAACAAGGCTGGTCCACATCCCCTAACCCCTTTTTCACTAACCAGGAACCTACTGGGTTCCAACATTTAGAAAAATATTCCTCCGAGATCAAATTCATCATTACAGTGGTCACAAAAATGATCCATTACAAGTGGCACCTCCATATTGTCCTTAGGAGCAACAGAAACTTCCTTCTCTTATCGCCAGCTTTTCTTTTCCTGCTTCGCTTTCTTCCCCTTCTTATCACCACCACCAGCACCCTTTGCACCACCACCAACACCCTTCACAGCAGCACCACCAGCAGCGGCAGCTTTAAGGCGGCGCTCGTGCAGGAGAGCAACACCGGCAGCCTTCTTGGCTCGGCCCATCTGCATGGCATCATACAACCCCCTCCTGTTGCGACTCATCAGCATGCTCCTACAGCCTTATCGCCACCCCTTCTTCTCCTGCTTCGCTTTCTTCCCCTGTTGCCCACCCTTCTTACCACCCTCACCAGCACCCTCTGCACCACCACCAGCACCCTTTCCACCACCACCAGCACCCTTTGCAGCAGCACCAGCACCACCAGCACCCTTTGCACCACCACCAGCACCCTTTGCACCACCACCAGCACCACCAGCACCCTTTGCAGCAGCAGCACCACCAGCGGCAGCAGCAGCGGCTTTAAGGCGGCGCTCGTGCAGGAGAGCAACACCGGCAGCCTTCTTGGCTCGGCCCATCTGCATGGCATCATACAGCCCCCGCCTCTTGTGACTCATCAGCATGCGCGCAGCCGCCTTGCCCCCGTCCTCCTCATTCTCCTCCCCAGCTGCTGGCACTGCTGCTGCTCCTCCTTGCCTCTCCTCCTCCTCCTCACCCTCCCCTTCCTCGTCCTCATCTTCTTCCTCGTCTGCCTCACCTCCTTCGCCCTCTTCCTCTTCCTCTCCTTCCGCAGTGTTATCCCCCTCATCGTCCTCCTCCCTGTCCTTGATACCCTTGCCTTGGACCAGCGAGGAGGAGAACGGAACCCCTGAAAGCTCCTTGGCCAGATCAGCAGCGTAGGCCTTCTCTTCAGCCGCAACCTGGTTACCGAAGCCAAGGCACAATCATGTTAACTATGACGCATCGTGACAATCATGTCAAGAACAGCCGACGTCGCAAACTAAAGGGGTTAACCGAGCCTCCTCACATTTGAAAGCACATGAGACAACAACCTGCGTCTTCACCTTGTCAGCATCACAACTTTGAATACATGAGGAAACCAGCCAGAAGCAGCCCAAAAGCAGTAATCCCTTACCTCTGCAATCTTGGCAGCCAGTGCAGCCTCCTCTGCCTTCACCTCGTCCTCCCCTCCACCCACCGCCACACTCCCCTCGCCACTCATCCTCACTTCATGCGCCCCCTCCAGCTCCATCAGCGACCCCCCTGCCCCCATGCCCAGCATGCCCCCTGCCGCCCCTTTGTGCTGTGCAGCATCTCGCGCCGCTGCGGCCTCTTTCAGCCGTTGGATCGCCGCGGCATAGTCGGGCAGGTAGCCCTCCTCCTCGTGGTTCACGAAGGGGGAGAGATGGGGTGGCGGTACACTGGGGGGAGAGGGGGGGAAGGGGGGAAGAGATACTTGGCACGCATTTTAGACATGAGTGTCGGATGGAGTGAGTGACGAGTCACATGGGCATAGTCGGGCAGATAGCCCTCCTCCTCGTGATTCACAAAGGGGGAGAAGTGTGGTGGCGGCACACTGCTCGTGGGTGTTGGGGAGAGGGGGGAAGGAGGGGATACACATGCATGAGCGAAGTGAAACGGCATAGTCGGGCAGGTAGCCCTCCTCCTCGTGGTTCACGAAGGGGGAGAGGTGCGGCGGTGGCACACTGCTCGTGGGAATGAAGAAAGGGGTGAAGGGGGGCGGGAGGGGGTGGGGTTGAAGAAGGGGGTAGTCAGCATGCTCGGGTAGATAGCCCTCCTCCTCGTGGTTCACGAAGGGGGAGAGGTGGGGTTGTGGCACACTGCTCATGGGATTGAAGAAGGGGGTACAGTGGGGGAGGGTGGTACTTAGTGCGCTTCAGAAATGCTTGTTCAATGGTGGTTCACAAAAGGGGAGAGGTGGGGGGCGGCGGCACACTGTCCATGTGATTGAAAGGATCAGGGATAAGGTGGTGTGGGTGGGGGAGAAGGGGGACGGGGACAGGGGAGGGGAGAGGTTGCGGACAGGAACGGGTAGGCACTTGCACTGCGGAGGGGCAGAACTCACAGGCCAGGGGCGTAGGGCGCGGAGGGGCAGCACTCACAGGCCAGGGGCGTAGGGCGCGGAGGGGCAGCACTCACAGGCCAGGGGCGTAGGGCGCGGAGGGCAGCAGGATGCGCGCATTGGCGCAGTCAAACACCCACTGCGGCTGCACGTAGTCCCGTGAGAGATTGCGGTGCTTCTGCTGCGGCCGGTCCACCACCTGATGGCGTGGTGTGGTGGGGGGGGTTACAGCGGGAGGAGGGAGGAGCGGAAAAGCAGAGGGGTTAAGGTGAGTAGCAGTCAAACACCCACTGCGGCTGCACGTAGTCCCGTGAGAGATTGCGGTGCTTCTGCTGTGGCCGATCCACCACCTGGAAGCATGGTGGTGGGGGAGGGAGGAGAGAGGAGAGGACGGAAGAGGGAGATTAAGAAGGAGGTGACGAAGGAGACGGCAGCAATATGATGTGATGCAAGTACTCAGGGAGTCACGTGAAAGAGACGGGCAATGTGAGTGTTTTGAGACGTCTCAGGAGACGGCAGCAATGTGAGTGTTTTGAGACGTCTCAGGAGACGGCAGCAATGTGAGTGTTTTGAGACGTCTCAGGAGACGGCAGCAATGTGAGTGTTTTGAGACGTCTCAGGAGACGGCAGCAATGTGAGTGTTTTGAGACGTCTCAGGAGACGGCAGCAATGTGAGTGTTTTGAGACGTCTCAGGAGACGGCAGCAATGTGAGTGTTTTGAGACGTCTCAGGAGACGGCAGCAATGTGAGTGTTTTGAGACGTCTCAGGAGACGGCAGCAATGTGAGTGTTTTGAGACGTCTCAGGAGACGGCAGCAATGTGAGTGTTTTGAGACGTCTCAGGAGACGGCAGCAATGTGAGTGTTTTGAGACGTCTCAGGAGACGGCAGCAATGTGAGTGTTTTGAGACGTCTCAGGAGACGGCAGCAATGTGAGTGTTTTGAGACGTCTCAGGAGGCGACCAAGGAGACAGCAGCAATGTGATGTGATGCAAGTACTCAGGGAGTGCCCACCTGGTGAGTGATGGCTTCATCAGTCTCAGGAGCCGGTGCACCCTCGCCCTCCCAGCTGGCCTTGCCCCCAAACGCCCGAATCACAAACAGCAGCGGCTCCCTGGGCACCTCTCGGCCAAGGAAGAGCACAAGCCCTCTGAACAACCGCCCACACGCCCTCGTCTCCTCATCATCCTCGTCCCCCTCCTCCTCCTCCTCTGCCTCTGCTCCACCCGCGCCTTTTCTCCCCGAACCACCCTCTGCCTTCTCCTCCTCGTCGGGGTTGGCCTCTGCTGCGGCAGCCATGGCTGCTAGGCGGCTCTGTAGGGATGCCATTCGCGATGCTGTTGCTTGCTTGCGCAGCAAGGGAAGCTTCTCTGATGCTTCCATCTCTGCATCCACTGCGGGTTCTGCTGCCGCTGCGCCCTCTCCTTCTCCCGCTGCTGGTTCTGCTGCTGTCGATGCAGCAGCAGCACCGTCTGCCTCTCCCTCTGCCTTCCCCTCCTCTCCTCCCCCATCTGCGCTCTTCTCAGCCCTCTCTTGCAACGCAGCATCATCACCAGCACCAGCCGCAGCAGCAGCAGCAGCAGCAGCATCAGCGTCAGCAGTAGGAGCAGCGCCAAGAAGAGCGGCAGAAGCAGCGGCAGCTTCCTTGAAGGCCTTCCTCTCTCGCTTCTGCCTCGCTGCTGCTGCCGCCTCTGCCAGCTTGCGCATCACCGCATACAGGTCTGATGGGTGGGCAAGCAGAATACGTGGGAGAGAGGAGGGTGGATCGGAGGGGAACGATGGTAAATTCTGGGTTTGCATGCAGCACACACAGCACGTGTAAATGCAGAGCCGTGTGGCCTGCCGCTGCCGCCTCTGCTAGCTTGCGCATCACAGCATACAGGTCTGATGGGGTGGGCGAGAAAAGGCAGGAGGCAAAAAGGGCTTTGATGTGTGGGCGTACTGGTGTGCCACCAGTACACCCATCTGTCTTGAAGTGTGGGCAGTAAATTTGGGGTTTGAAACGTGGCACAAGCACCACACTTCAAGACAGATGGGTGTACTGGTGCATCTGCTAACTTGCACATCACATCAAACAGGCGTCAAGAGAAAGGGAGCACATGGAAAAACCACAAGCCACCAGCTTCAGCTGGCGGAAACACAACAATGCCGAGGGAGCGCACCTGCTGCTGCCTTCTCGACGCACCTGCTGCTGCCTTCTCGACGCACCTGCTGCTGCCTTCTCGACGCACCTGCTGCTGCCTTCTCGACGCACCTGCTGCTGCCTTCTCGAGACGCGGGTCGAGGCGAGGAGGGTAGGCGAGGCGCAGCTCGTGGTAAAGCTTGAAGTTGACAAAACCCATTAGGGTCTGGTGGGGGAGGGATGTGGGAGGTGGGGGAGGGGAGGGGGGGGGAGAGAGGTGAGGGGGGAGAGGATGTGGAGTAAAATGGTAAGTCGATTCTCTTTTAAAGAGGCAGTTCGTGTTAGAGGTTGAAATTGACACAGCCCACAAGGGTGTGCAGGCCAGAGGATGCAAGACGGGCAGGGGGGATGCAGGGGGGTGAGGGGAGGGGAGAAGGTGTGTGTGGATTGAAAAGCTGTGGATCTCACAACACACCCCCTACGCACCCCACCACCAAGGGACTCAAAGGGACGTACCTTGTAGAGCTCTAGTAAGGTGTGCAGGAACCCAGCTTTTGAGACGTCTCATAAGGTGTGCAGGAACTCAGCTTTTGAGACGTCTCATAAGGTGTGCAGGAACTCAGCTTTTGAGACGTCTCATAAGGTGTGCAGGAACCCAGCTTTTGAGACGTCTCATAAGGTGTGCAGGAACTCAGCTTTTGAGACGTCTCATAAGGTGTGCAGGAACTCAGCTTTTGAGACGTCTCATAAGGTGTGCAGGAACCCAACCCCCCCCCACCCCCCACAACCCCATAAGCACCACCCACGCACCCATTCCGATAAAGCCCATCCCAAACTAACCTCGTAGAATTCGAGGAAGGTGAGCATCACACGGAAGTCCACGTGAGCGGGCATGACCTGCCTGCCCTGCATGACCTGCCCTGCGTGACCTGCTGCTCCCGTGCACTCAACACCCCCCGCCAGCACTGTTCCTCCTCCCCCCAATCCCCCCCTTCACACCCAAACTAACCTCGTAGAATTCGAGGAAGGTGAGCATGACGCGGAAGTCCACGTCAGTGGGCATGACCTGCATGAGCTGATGTGGCACCAGCCACGTCACTGGCTGCCCCACGACCTGCGCCTGGTAGTAGATGCCCTTGACCGATACGAACACCTTGCGCAGGGCGTGAGTGCGCGTGATGTATGCCTGCCACTCCAGAGACAGTCTGTGTGGGTGCAGCGGGTATGGGCGTGTATGGGGTATGGGGATCACATGGGGATCACATGGGGATCACCCACAAGCGTTGTTGACCCACTTGGAGGTTGGAGATCCCCAAGCAAGTGCGGTACTCAAGAAGGTGGTGATGGCAAGAAGAGGGCCAGCGCAAGATCTGCCCCTTACTCCTCCCACCAAGCCCCACCTCCATCCCGTCAAACCTCTCTCAAACCCCCCAGCCCCAAACCCCCAATCTCAGCCCCCCTCACCTGCAAGAGTTGTTAACGCGAGCGGCGGGGATGCGGAAGGTGGCGGCAGTGAGTCAGCTCAATCATTCCACTCACTCCTCCCCCCTCCCCCCACCTCCTCCCCACAAACCCCGAACCTATCCTCCCCCATACCCCATCCCCCATACCCCATCCCCCATACCCCATCCTCCGACTCCCCTGACCTCTCCTCACCTGCGCGCGTTGTTAACACGGGTGGCGGGGATGCGGAAGGTGGCATCGGCGGGCAGCGTAGCAGCTCAAACGACACTCCCTTTCCTCTTTACCGCCCCACAAACCCCAAACCCCCTCCTCCCCTCCCCCCTCACCTGCGCGCATTGTTGACGCGGGTGGCAGGGATGCGGAAGGTGGCATCGGCGGGCAGAGTGGCGAAGAGGTGCAGCATGGTGAGCGCGTCGTCAAGGTCCCTGATAGCGTCGATGAACGATGGGTACCTGCGTGGGTGCATGAGAGGGGGAGGGGCGTGAGAGAGGCCAGAGAGGGAACGGGAAGGGAATGGGAGTGGCAGGGTGGCGAAGAGGTGCAGCATGGTCAATACATCATCCAGATCCCTGGTCGCATCCATGAACGATGGGTACCTGGGGATCAGGAAAAGGGGGAGAAGGGAGACAGAATGACAGCGTGGCAAATAGGTACTCCATGATGAGTTCGTGTCAGGCTGTCGTCACGAACTGGCAGCAGCACGCACCTCCTGGTTAGTCACCCTCGCTATAGTACAGCCGCTCGCCACGCCACACGTACTCACCGCTCCTTCACAAGGTGGTCCAGCGACACGCGGGGCATGCTGCTTCTAAGGCGCTTCAAGAACAGACTCGCTAGACGCAGCTCCTCCCAACCTTCCTCGCTACAGCCGCTCGCCACGCCACACGTACTCACCTCTCCTTCACAAGGTGGTCCAGCGACACGCGGGGCATGCTGCTTCTAAGGCGCTTCAAGAACAGACTCGCTAGACGCAGCTCCTCCCAACCTTCCTCGCTACAGCCGCTCGCCACGCCACACGTACTCACCGCTCCTTCACAAGGTGGTCCAGCGACACGCGGGGCATGCTGCTTCTAAGGCGCTTCAAGAACAGACTCGATAGACGCAGCTCCTCCCAACCTTCCTCGCTACAGCCGCTCGCCACGCCACACGTACTCACCTCTCCTTCACAAGGTGGTCCAGCGACACGCGGGGCATGCTGCTTCTAAGGCGCTTCAAGAACAGACTCGCTAGACGCAGCTCCTCCCAACCTTCCTCGCTACAGCCGCTCGCCACGCCACACGTACTCACCGCTCCTTCACAAGGTGGTCCAGCGACACGCGGGGCATGCTGCTTCTAAGGCGCTTCAAGAACAGACTCGCTAGACGCAGCTCCTCCCAACCTTCCTCGCTACAGCCGCTCGCCACGCCACACGTACTCACCTCTCCTTCACAAGGTGGTCCAGCGACACGCGGGGCATGCTGCTTCTAAGGCGCTTCAAGAACAGACTCGCTAGACGCAGCTCCTCCCAACCTTCCTCGCTACAGCCGCTCGCCACGCCACACGTACTCACCTCTCCTTCACAAGGTGGTCCAGCGACACGCGGGGCATGCTGCTTCTAAGGCGCTTCAAGAACAGACTCGCTAGACGCAGCTCCTCCCAACCTTCCTCGCTACAGCCGCTCGCCACGCCACACGTACTCACCTCTCCTTCACAAGGTGGTCCAGTGACACGCGCGGCATGCTGCGTTCCAGTCGCTCCACCTTGTCCGTCTCCAGGCGCCCCTTGGCCTTGCGGATCTTCTTCCTCTGCGCGCGCATCTCCCTGCACGCGGACGCGAGATGAGGCACGAGTCGAGATGGGGAATGGGTTGAGAGGGGACACGGTTTGAGATGGGGCACGGTTTGGGGGATATCTTTGAGAGGCCTACGGAACATCATTCCCGGAGACGGGTTGACCGGGTGAAAGCCCGACATCAGGTTCCTGGAATTCACTGAGTAAAGTGCCAGTGATAAGCTGATGCCGGGCTTCACAGAGTAAAGTGCCAGTGATAAGCTGATGCCGGGCTTCACAGAGTGAAGTGCCAGTGATAAGCGCGCTAATCTACTGGTATACCTCTACGAGCGGCGACGCTACTAACCCGTGCAATGAGACACACCTCTGGAGCTCGAGCAGCGGCTCATGCGCGAGGAAGTTAATGTCCTTGACATGGTAGTTAGGTCAAAGAGCAATTCATACAGTACTAGGAAACGGCGTTGTGCTGACCTTTGGAGCTCGAGCAGCGGCTCGTGCGCGAGGAAGTTGATGTCCTTGACATGGTAGTACGTCTTGTGCGCGCCCTTAGTCTTCTTCTTCGGCTCGCGCGGGTGAATGCCCTTCAGGATGCACAGCCGCCTGCCGGGGGGCGGGGGGGAAGAGGGGGGGGGTGGGGGGGGGGGGGAGTGGATGAACGGGAGATGAGCGTGGGGTGGAGAAGCTAAGCGGCCGCAAGTAGCGCAGCGGTGGGTGCGCGGGTAAAGGAAATGCATTTGAGTAAGCACTAAGATGAGTGCAGATCGAGGCACGGTACTAGCTGAGTTGGAATCAAGGTTTCGCTATCCAAGCGAGGCACCCCGGAAACGCATCAAGACCCCTAACGCACCAAAACTCGGATAGCTTCAGCTGCGATATATGAGTTATTTTATCATCCGACTTGTTACATCCTTAAACGCAACACCCAGACACACCTGAAGTCGGCTAGTTTGAGCTGCAGGCGCACGAGCGCCTGATTGCGCGTCGTGTACTTGGCCGCATTTCCCTCCTTCCCCTGCTCCGCGGACAATTGATTAGAGACGAAAATTAGCACGAGGAAATGAAAGCTATAGAGATTTCTCGAACCGGCTACGCGACGAATCTGAAAGCAACGGAGAGGAGGACCACGCGGGCTAGAAAAGGAGATCACGTGATCCGGCTATGGAGAAGTTTCTTAGATGCCACAGCCACGGCCCAGCGGCACTGACACGGGTCAGCGACCGCACGCAACGAAAAATTCGACATCCATGCCGAAGGCAACGTCCACTTACTCTCTTTTTCTTAAGCATGGTGCGCTTTGGTTCGCGCTACAGCACGCGCAGCCACAGAAACTACGCGGACGCGAAGGGCCAGATAAAACCTGAGGCTAAGGAAGCTAAGAGCGAAAGAGGAGGAAAATACGGATGGCTCCAGGGTTTTGAAAGGCCCAGGATTCAGGGTTCGGTAAAATCATGGGTGGGCTGGAAAAGCGCATGTTCGTGCACTAAATGTATTCTTTACGTTATATTATTTCAAATCTATGAAATTGAAATCTATAATTGCATAAAACACCTCAGAGCTTTCCAGCCCTGCAGCTCCCTAAAATACTCTCTTGAAGTAATGCACTCAATATATACGACCAATGGAGGATAGAAGCCCAATCTATTTTATTTTGCACACAAAAAAGCAATGTATACAACCAAATATCAAAATGCATCAATCCCTGAAAGAAAACATCTCTATGCTATGGGCCACAACACAGCCATGTTCATCCATCAGTGCCAACAAAATGTGGCAGTACGTACTAATTCTAGATCATGTTACAACATGTCATTCCAATGACAGCCGGCCACACCACCCCCACTCTGCTCATCCATCTGTGCAAACAGGGGCAGGCATACACTTGGGCTGCCAAGTGGGCTGACCACCTTGCGTTGGGCCTATTCAGATCCAATCACCCTTCATCATGGTCATACCACCATGCCATCCCGTCACAAGACGATGGTGGAAATCCCAGAGCAGCCATGTGCCAAAGGCAGTCAAGTGGGTTCACCATGTCTCTTGCTTGCCTCAAAATGGGTTTCCCACTTCGGCGCCTTGAGAATAAGTCACACATTAAGGGTGTCGTGTCCCATCTCTTGCACTCTACAGGTACGGTACCATCCCTCTTCCAATCTCCCACCTTAGGATACTCAGCCACCACTCTCACCAACTCCCCCACCTTAGAGGATTCAGCACCAACTCTCTCTTCCAGGCACCCACCAAAGGGGTTTCAACTTCTGCATTCCATTCCACTCCCTAGGGGTTGCTGCAGCACCCATCCCTCTCTCCCACTCACCCACCTTCCCATCTTTCACCCCACCCATCCTTCTCTCCCACTCAACCACCCACCCATGTTAGGGATTTCAGTCCGCATCCCTCGCTCCCACTAACCAACCCCCTTTAGGGGTTTCAGTCCCCATCCCTCACTCCCACCCACAAACCCCCTTTAGAGGTTTCAGTCCCCATCCCTCGCTCCCACTCACCCAAACCCCTTTAGGGGTTTCAGTCCCCATCCCTCGCTCCCACTTAACCACCCACCCATGTTAGGGGTTTCAGTCCCCATCCCTCGCTCCCACTCACCAACACCCTCTAGGTGTTTCAGTCCCCATCCCTCGCTCCCACTCACCAACACACTTTAAGAGATTCTGTCCCAATTCCTCTCTGCCACTCACCAACCCTCACACCACCTTAGGGGTTTAAGCCCCTATCCCTCTTGCCCACTCGCCTACACTCTCCCACCAAGGGGATCTACGCCCCAATCACTCTCTCCCACTCTCCAACTCACCCACCCACCTGAAGGTTTCAGCCCGCATTCCTCTCTCCCACTCACCCACCCTCCCATTCACCCACCCACCCACTCACCCACCCTCCCATTCACCCACCCACCCACTCACCCACCCTCCCATTCACCCACCCACCCACTCACCCACCCTCCCATTCACCCACCCACCCACTTACCCAACCTCCCATTCACCCACCCACCCACTCACCCACCTGCCTTACGGGTTTCTGGCCCAACCCAAGGGGGTTCAGCCCCACTCCCCATCGCTCACCCTCCCAAGGAGGTTCAGCCTCACCCCTCCCCATCACTCACCCACCCAAGGGGGTTCAGCCCCCCTCCCACTCACCCAGCCAGCCCATCCCCACCTTCACCTACCAGCAGTAGGAGCAGCAGAGAGCCCCCTTCCTTCTCACCCATCCCACCCAAAGGGATTCACCCCTTCCTTCTACCCATCCCACCCAAGGGGATTCACCCCTTCCTTCTCACCCATTCCACCCAAGGGGATTCACCCCTTCCGTCTCACCCATCCCTCCCAAGGGGTTCACTCCTTCTCTCTCACTCACCCACCCAAGGGGTTCAAACCCCCTTCTCTCTCAGTCACCCACCCAAGGGGTTCAAACCCCCTTCTCTCTCACTCACCCACCCAAGGGGTTCAAACCCCCTTCTCTCTCACTCACCCATCCAAGGGGTTCAAGCCCCCTTCTCTCTCAGTCACCCACCCAAGGGGTTCAAGCCCCCTTCTCTCTCAGTCACCCACCCAACGGGTTCAAACCCCTTTCTCCCTTACTCACCGACCCACAGGGTTCAAGCCCCCTTCCCTCTCACCAACCCAACCCAAGGGGATTCAGGCCCCTTCCCTCTCACCCACCTGCTCAAGGGGTTTCAGGCCCCTTCTCTCTCACTCACCCACCCAGCCCATCCCCACACTCACCTACCAGCAGTAGGAGCAGCAGACAGCCCACTTTCTTAAGGAAACAGCACCCCCAGAGGTGGCGCCTTGTGGGGCGAGGTGTGGTAGTGGAAATTTGCTTCCAGCCCAAGACTCAAATCCCACCCCTGACGTAGCTAGAGCTGACGCGAACCAGAGCCGCCGGCCGGTCGACTCTGATGGTGTCCATTAAGCCTTAAACGCCAGTTCGGTTACTTGAGCACCGAGTGCCGTGCCGCGAAAGTTCCACCCACCACACCCCACCACCACAAGGCACAACCCCAGAGGGTGCTGCCCCTAAGGCAGTGAACTCCCCGCTTGCTCCCATGCTCCCCACCCACCCACCCCACACTTCACCCCCATGCCTCCTTACCTGTACTTACCTCCACTTACCACAGCCGTGCAGAGTGCCATGATGCATGCTGAGGCTGCTGGGAAGTGGAGAGAGAAGGGGGAGTTACGGAGGGAGAGACGACTCTGTGATCCAGGCAGGGTGCTGCTGGGAGGGGAGGGAAAAGGGAGAGAGGAGGAGGTGAGTGAGAAGGTGGACTCCACTCTCCCGCCCTTGTTCCAGTGCTCCCACCCTCAGCCTGCGGGGAGAAGGGGGGAAGAGAGAGAGCCTACTTGTACCATACCACACCTGTACCGTACCTCACCCACAACTAGCTAGCCTAACCTGCCCCTAGCCCCCCAACCCCCGCTGCTGCTACTGCTGCTGTCGCTGCCGCTTCTGCTGCTGCTACTGCTGCTGCCAGTCTGCTACTCTGCTTCCTCAGCTGCAATCTTCTCTTGACGCCAAGTGACCTGGTAGAGGGCAGAAAAGGGGGGGAAGGAACAAGAGAAGAGGGGAAGAGGAACTGGTGAGTTGGCATGAACACAGAAACTCAAGTGGACAGAAGAACACTTGAGAGGACAGAAACGAGAATGCAGAATTAAAGAGAGAGATGCTGCAGCGAGTGAACTCGAGAGGGGGAGAAGAGTGGCCAAGGCGTAAGACTACATACCTTGAGGGTGCCAAGCCCACCCCGATACTCTCCCTGGCAGCACCCGCATCAGTCTGCTGCAGTGCTGCCTCCTTCCCGTCCCCGTGGGTACCTGCAAGGCCACCAGGGGAGGGGCTGGGGAAGCGGCGGTGTTGACCCCATGCCCCTCCCCTCAACCAGCAAGCAGGACACTGAAGAGAAGTGAGTAGGTCGATAGGGGTGGAAATGTGAGAGGGGTGTCATGGGTGTGGTGGGATGCTAGCTGACAGCAGAAAAGGGGGCCACTGGTGCAGCCTAAGCTACCAGCCACAGACCTAAGGGAGGTTTATACCAAGGTAGGCTTAACCTGAGAGGGAGAATACCTTTTGTACCTGGGGTTGTTTACCTTGGAAAATAAAAGGGTCTGTGGCTTGAAGCTGTGGCACGGCCAGAGGCTAAACTTTGAAGGGATTCGAAATAGAAAATGCAGCGAGCATCCAAGTGGAAAAAGAATGCAAGAACAAGAGATGGCAGCTGAAATTAGAGCGGTGGGTGGAGAGAGAATGAGTGAGGAAGAAACTCACCGTGTCAGCAGCAAGCAGCCCACATGCTCTGGAAGGAGTGACACCCCTTAACCCGCCCGCATGCGCCTCTGCTGCAGGAGCGGACTGGCTGCTGATGCTGCAGGGAGAGACGAGGGAGGCATGGAGGAGAAGAAAAACAAGTGAGTGGAGAGGGGTGAGCAACGGTTGTAAACCGAAACTGCAGAGGAAAGTGAATTACAGGGAGTGAGGAAGAGCAGAGGGCTTACCAGTGAAGGCCAAAACCCTCCCGATACTCTCCCTATGGTAGCCCTCAGCTCTTATCGCTGCCCTGCCTCCCTCGCAGCCCCAGCGGCACCTGCAAGGCCACAAGGGGAGAGGCGGGAGAGTGGCGGTGTTGACCCCCACGCCCCTCCCCTCAGCCGGCAAGGAAAAAACTAAAAGGAAGTGAGTAAGCAATGTAAGGTGAGAGCAATGTAAGGCCAACAAAAGTGAGAGAAATGTAAGGTGAGAGCAGGAAAGAAGGCCACTGGTGCAGCCTCAGCTACAAGCCACAGACCCAAGGGGGGTACATACCTAGGGAGGCTTAACCTGAGATGATACCTGCTTTCCCAGGGGGGGTTTACCTAAGAAAAGGGGGTCTGTGGCTTGTAGTTGTGGCATGACGAGAGGCGTTTGAAGAGACACGAAACGAGGAAGGCAGCTAGGATGAAGATGGAATGGAACGGCAGAGACGGTTGGGAGAAAAAAAGCAGGGCAGGAACTTAGCTGTGGGTGGGTTGGGTGGGGAGCAGCTGCTGCCTGTGCACTCCATGTCCCCCGCCACTGCCACTCCCGTGTGAGCGACCTGCTGGGACCAGAAGGGAGAGGATCAGGACAGAAACAGGGAGGAGGGCAAAGAGGAAAGAAACCAGATAAAGTGAGTAAAGTGAGAATGAAGAGGGGAGAAGGAAATGCAAGGATGATGAGTACATGAATGGAATGGACTGCTGCAGTGGCGCACCCAAGAGACCTCGTACCAGCTAAACCAAACTAAAAAAAAAAATCCTGAGGCTGTACCAAGCAAAAAATATACCTGCTACCTTGGGGGAGGGAGGTCTCATGGGTGTGACAGAGAGCAGTGATAAAGGGAGTGTGATGAATGGTGCAAGCATGGCATGAAAAGCAACAGAGTGCGAGGGTTGGGAGAAGAGAGCAAGGGCGGGGTACTTAGCTGTGGGTGGGTTGGGTGGAGAGCAGCTGCTGCCTGTGCACTCCTTGTCAGCCGCCACTGCCACTCCTGATCTGCTACTCTGCTTCCCCTGCTGCTGCTGCTGCTGCTGCTGCCCATCCCCTCCCCTCCGCTGCTGCCCTGCCGCTGCCCCCGTGCTCCCCTGCTACAACCTTCAATGTACTGGGAGGGAGGGAGCAAGGTAGACGTAGGCAGGGGATCAAGGGACAGCAGTGAGAATGGGGAGAAGAGTAGGCACAAGCTACAAGGAAGCAAGGGAGCAGAAACGGGAAGTCAGCATGGGGAGAAGAACCAGCAGCAGCATGAGTGCACGAGGGAAAAGAGGCTCACCTTGTTTCAGACGACTCAATCCCGATACTCTCCCATCCCATCCCAGCGGAGTGGAGTTCTGTCCCCGTCCCCTCCCACCACTGCCACTCCCGTGTGAGCGACCTGCTGGGACGGGAGGGGGCGGGTTGGGACAGAGAGAGGAAGGGAGGAGGGGGGGAAGAAAACGGGGAAGTGAAGGGAGCGCAGAGGAGTGGGGAGAGCAGTGAGGAAAGAAGCCAAGACAAGTGAAAGTGAAAAGCGCAGCAAGCGCAAGCATGATGCGTGCATGAATGGACTGCTGCAGTGGCACACCCAAGAGACCTCGTACCAGCTGAACCAAACTAAAACCAATACCTGAGGCTGTACCAAGAAAATACACCTACTACCTTGGGGGAGGGAGGTCTAATGGTTGTGACAAAGAGCAGTGAAAAATGGAGTGTAATGCATGGTGCAAGCATGACAAGCAAAGCAACACAGTGCGAGGGTTAGGAGAAGAGAGGAAGGGCGGGGTACTTAGCTGTGGGTGAGTTGGGTGGAGAGCAGCTGCTGCCTGTGCACTCCATGTCCCCCACCACTGCCACTCCCGTGTGAGCGACCTGCTGGGACCAGAAGGGGGCAGATCGGGACAGAGAGAGGAAGGGAGGAGGGGCGGGAGAAACGGTGGAAGTGAAGGGGGCGCAGAGGAGTGGGGAGAGCAGTGAGGAAAGAAGCCAAGACAAGTGAAAGTGAAAAGCGCAGCAAGCGCAAGCATGATGCGTGCATGAATGGACTGCTGCAGTGGCACACCCAAGAGACCTCGTACCAGCTGAACCAAACTAAAACAAATACCTGAGGCTGTACCAAGAAAAATATACCTGCTACCTTGGGGGAGGGAGGTCCCATGGGTGTGACAGAGAGCAGTGAAAGTGGGAGTGTGATGCATGGTGCAAGCACAAAAAGCAGCAGAGTGCGACGGTTGAAGAAGGCACTTAGCTGGCGGTTGAAGAAGGACCGAGGGAGAGCTGATGCTGCTTCCGCGCGACCATTTCGCCACGATTCGCGGATGAAAAATTCGCCGTCCGACGAATTGCAGATGACGATTCTGCCGTGCGACGACGCGGACGACGAAAGCCTCATCACAAAAACGCGAAACCGCAAACTGGGGACGCCTAATCACATAGCGAGCAGCCGCCACCCGTTTGCTTGGCGAGACAGCGTGAGCAGAACCTGCACAATATCAGGAAAAAAGAGGATCAGTCGGTTGAAAACGAAGTGAGAATAGGCTGCGGATATTACTACAAACGATGAGAAACGGACTGAAAACGGCGAAAGGAAAGACGCTCACCAGAACTCGCTGAATTTAGGGCGACGTCTTCACAGCAGCTTGGTGACGATGTAAAAATCGCTGAAGCGCGTCGAAGTCGAGTTCAAATGGTCTGTGAAAGTGAAGAAAACCTGCAACGCGAAATCGCGTTCTGGTTAGATTAATCTTCCATGTGAAAAACAAGCGTAAATCTGCAAGAAATGACGAATCACCGATGAAGTACTCACCGAAAATCAGAGGCTGGAACTTCACAACGAACTGAGTGCAGCGTGGCGGATTGGGCTGCTGAATCGCTTGTCAAACGAGAAACGATTTCGATGTGAGCGGATAGTTATGGCTACCGAAATCAAAACGGAAGAGCTTCGCTAGCAAGACGGAGGAGAATGCTCTCAGGTAGCAGGAAACGAGCAGAATGAGCCATGTTGGAGAGAAATCGAGTCGAAAATGGCAGAGAACGGGCAAGAATCAGGTGAGGGGGTCACTGATTGAGGCTCACTACCCCCTCGGAATGATGGTGGTGGTTTCTCATAGAGTAAATCTAACGGTTTCAAAATCAGAATCTCTGAGGAGGCTGGGACTAGATTCAATCTCAACCGTAGGGAGACGTTCCGACGTGTCACATGATTGTGCGGTTCAGGTGGATTGGAACCCTCCGTTTGCTACACTTTGTCACGTGTCGCAATCGCCGCCAAGCGGCTGTACCAAAAAAGAGAATCCAGATATTCCCCAGAAACGGTCCGTTAACGGAAGCGGGAACGAACGAAAAGCCTTTCGGCCGTCGATTTGTAATTCTATCAAGTAGATCCGTCATCCCGCCAGTTCGAAATCTATCACCGTGTCGCTCAAATTCGAACTGTAGGTGCTGGCCAATGAGAGGCCACCAAACCCCACCCGTGGAAGAGAGCCGTTGTGAAGCCCCAGTTGTCATGGGATGGTTTGGCTGAGACTAGCCAAAGGTGAGACTGGCGAAAGCTCATACCACCTCCTCCGTGGACCGTGGCGAACGATTCAGCAACTCTCTGCGAAGTGAGATTGAGTTCTGACTAGAGCCAAAGAATGTGCAAAGGAATCTCGTGACGTGGAAACTGGCACCCTCGAATCACCATCCATTTCCTCCATGAATGCTGACCAGAACTGCGATTTTGCCATTCCTTGCTGTCCGATTTCAGTCTGATCTGTTCCTTGACCATCGACCCTCGATGCTTGATGTGGTCTGACATCGAGCCCTCGAAGCTCGGCATGTACAGTAGCTGAATGTGGGATGTGAATGTTCTGGAGTAGAGAACGGTTCTAGGATGTGAATCTAGAAAATAGCTTTTGTGAATATTTGCGAATCCTACGGTATTATAACTACAAACGAACTATTTACCAAAATTCAAGAGTTGGTAAGTGAACTTTATCAGTGACGTTATTTTGAACGAACACATAACTCAACCGCTTCACTCACGAGCAGAAAAATGATGCGGCTTATTTTCATGCGTGTTTGATTTGTTTCGTTTGACCTGTCATGTTACATCATATTATACATTATACAGTTTCCGGTAATGTCAGTCTATTTGTAAGGAAATTCCCTTTTCCTTACTTCGCGTCCCTGCTCAACGCGTACATCACTGTAGCACCTCAGTCAGCACCGTTACCACTCGCGACCATCGCATCATTCATCATCCCGCCATTTTCGCACATCGCATCCCGACCTCACGGCTCGGCTGTGTCAGAATATATATGTAGCTTATGCTGTTGTGTAGGCTACAGTGGGGTATACCATAGGGGGTACAACCCAATTAGGGTTTTGCCATTTGTACTCACTTCACTCATAGTTCATTTATTCTCGCTCTATTCTCCACATGGTACCGTATCGAGCAGGTTCCCCCGTGGGAACTGTGCTTAGGGCCCACCACTTTTAAACTTTTTTTTCTGCCCGGAGCGCGCTCCGGGCCCTCGCTCTCACTCTTTCGGCCTGCCCTGCAGGCCCCTAGCCGCCCGCGCGCCGCCTGTCCCGGCCCCTAGCCGCCCGCGCGCCGCCCGTTCAGGCCCCTAGCCGCCCGCGCGCCGCCCGTCCCGGCCCTTAGCCGCCCGCGCGCCGCCCGTCCCGGCCCCTAGCCGCTCGCGCGCCGCCCGTTCAGGCCCCTAGCCGCCCGCGCGCCGCCCGTCCCGGCCCCTAGCCGCTCGCGCGCCGCCCGTTCAGGCCCCTAGCCGCCCGCGCGCCGCCCGTCCCGGCCCTCAGCCGCCCGCGCGCCGCTTGTCCCGGCCCCTAGCCGCTCGCGCGCCGCCCGTTCAGGCCCCTAGCCGCCCGCGCGCCGCCCGTCCCGGCCTCACACCGCCCGTGCGCCGCCCGTCCCTGCTGCACGCCGCCGTCCTGGCCCCCCAGTGGGGGCCGCTGGTGGCAGGTGGGGGGTCTCCCCTACTTCTCCTCCTCCTTCGTCTCGAGCCGCCCTGCAGCCGAGCCGCCTCGCCGCCGAGCCGCTTTACACCCGAGCCTCCCAGCAGCCGAGCCGCCCTGCAGCCGAGCCGCTCTTCACCCGAGCCTCCCAGCAGCCGAGCCGCCCTACAGCCGCGCCGCCGGGTCGCCGAGCTGCCGAGCTGCAGTTGCTGCCGAGCCGCCCTGCCGCCGAGCCGCCCGAGTCGCCCGAGCCGCAGAGCCGCCGTGCTGCCGAGCCTCTGAGTCGCCGAGCCTACTCTACCCACCACTGGTGAGCCCCTGCCCTGCTAGCACGCTGCGCGTCGCCTGCTTGCCTGCCTGCCTCCCTTTTTGGCTTGCCTGGCTGCCTGCCTTACTGCTGCTACTCTTGCTCCTGCCTCTACTGGTGGAGCCAGATGCGGCCCCATCGACGTCTGCGTGAGTCCCTCACGCCCCAGCAGCTGTGTGAGTGGTACGCTGGTTGGGGCTGTAGGGGTGGTGGCGCTACTACTGCTACCACTCCTGCTGCTTCTACTACTGGTGGCGGCCAGATGCAGCTCCCGCGACCCCCCCGCGCGTCTCTCACGCCTCAGCAGCTTCGTGAGTGGTACGCTCAGAGTGGAGGGTCTCTCAGTTCTGTTCGCTACTCTTACGTGATTCGCACTGGCGCTCGGACTGGTCAGCCTTGTGGGACACCTAGTCACACACAGTCCCGCTACTTTGCCCGTCTGAGCGATGCCTGGCGTATCGAGTTTGGCGACGAGGCTGAGCTCCACGAATGGGTGGAGTTACTAAGGCAGAGGGTAGATATATTTGCTCTTGACTATGATGCTATTCTCACTGCCACGTATGCATTGCCTACTAGTGCTGACCGTGCCGGTCACCTGTGCGTACCGCCTGACCCGGGTATACGACCTGCTGCTCTAGCTACTGGTGAGGCTGCTGCTGCTCTGGGTGCTAGTGAGTCTCCTGCTCCAGGTACAGGTGCGGCTGCTGCTCTAGGTGCTAGTGAGTCTGCTTCCTCAGGTGCGGGTGAGGCTGCGCTCTCACGTACCACGTTGGCTTCGGCCTCCCTCACCTTTACACTTGACTCTGGGGCTTCTCGCTCCTTCTTTCGGGACCGCACCACACTCACGCCGCTTGGTCGGCCTGTTGCAGTCTCCCTGGCTGACCCCTCTGGGGGTCCTGTCCTCGCTCACTTTTCCACTGTCCTCCCGTGTCTGGCTGCCCCCTCGGGCACCCTGTCTGGCCTGTACCTCCCCTCGTTCTCGACGAACTTGGTGAGTGGTGCAGACCTGCAGGATGCGGGGGTTCACCAGTTCACTCCTGCGAGTCAGCGGGTGACCCACTGCACGGACGCACGCACAGGCCGGCACCTGGCCACGTTCTCGCGTCGGCCGGGGTCGAGCCTCTACACCCTGACCACTGAGTCTCCTCCTTTCCCTGCGTCCGGTCAGGTAGCAGCGTCAGGTCAGGTGTTTGCTGCTGCGTCCAGGTCTGGTCCTGAGTCTGCCCCCTGCTCGTGTCGCCTCTTGTCTCACGAGACTCTCCTGTGGCACCACCGTCTTGGCCACCCCTCCTTGCCCCGTCTTCGGGGCATGGCTTCCCGTGTCCTTGTCTCTGGTCTTCCCCAGTCTCTCCTTCCCCTTCCTTCGGGACCAGGACCTTCCTGTGTCCCCTGTGTCGAGGGGCGCCTCAGGGCTGCTCCTCACTCCTCCCAGTTTCCCCCGACAGAGGCTCCTCTGCAGACACTTCACATGGACGTGTGGGGCCCGGCCCCCGTCCGTGGGCAGGGTCACGAGCGCTACTTCCTGTTGGTGGTTGACGACTACTCGCGTTACACCACAGTCTTCCCCTTGCCAAGCAAGGGTGCTGTCACTGAGGTGCTGATCGACTGGATCCGCGAGGCTCTTCTCCAGCTCAGGAGGAGCTTCGGCTCGGACTTTACTGTTCTGCGTCTGCACTCTGACCGAGGTGGGGAGTTCTCCTCTCGCCTTCTGCGAGACTACTGTCGTGCACAGGGGATCCGCCAGACCTTTACGCTTCCGGA